ATAAACTTGAATTTATGAATTGTAAGAATAAATAGCAATGTATATAACGATTTTGAGTGAACTTATAAACAACAGAAACCTTTCACTTATATTTCTAGAGGTTGGGATGCCAAAGATTAAGATGTGGAACATTCATTTTCTCGTGAAGTCTACTTTCTGGCTTGCTTGTCACTGCTCCTGGTGAGACAGTGAAAAAATAATTTGAGTTGTATCATAAAGGCACATTCCTTTTCACAATGCCTCTAATCTTATGAACAAATCAGTTTCCAAAGGACTCCCCCTCCAGATACCATGCATGACCTTCAAGTCTAGGATTTCAACATGTGAATTTTGAGGAGATATAAATATTCAGGCCATAAAAAATCCAATTCAGCATAATATGTTACATTTGATTGTTCTATACTTTGGTATCTTTTAACAATGGGGCACCTATGTCTTTTTTGTCATCAGAAGCATCTATTAGTTGCAGTTGGTTATAACATACCTGATATAACTAAACCGCATTCGGAGACCTGAAAAATTGGTGATGCTAACTATCAACTTCAGCTTCATTTGCAGTGTGATATGTTTAAATCTTTGAGAGACTCCTAGACTGATTTGAGACTAAAAAGATAAGATACTGTCGAGTGATGCTACTCCTGGGGAGACATGAATATCTGTGGTTTACTCACCCCAGATAGGGAACTGATCAAAGCATGATACCACCAAAGTCCAACTTGGTGAACTAATGAGTTTTATTGGGATTACTTACAGAAACTTGGGTGAGGGGGATTACTTACATTCTGCCATCACAAAAAGTGCATTCCCTGATGGGTAAGAGTTCACTCAAGTCAGAAACCTGGGGTACACTGCACAATTTGCAAGCACCTTAACAGGTTGGAGAGTGTTTTATCCCAGTGGCTCAGATGATCTGGGCCTCTTCTAAGCAGCTCTTCTGGTCTTTGCTTTTTCTGGGCAGCTTGGTTGGTCCCTGCTTCTTTTGGCCTGCTTGGTTCATTTGGTTTTTCTTTTCCATGCTGTTCATTCTTAGCCTCTTCTAAGCGCCTCAGTTTGCAAAGAGACTCTCAGCCATGGTTAATGCTTTTATACTCTTGGGGGTGTGGGGAGGGGGAGGGAAGGGCCTAGTGGATCTGGTCAGTTTCAGGAACCTCCTGAAGATATTTGTGTTATGTCCCATCTTAATGAGTTTTCTTGCAGGACATGTTATTGTTTCACCTCCTTGTAAACATTGTATTCTAAAGTATCCTGTTGCTTCATTCACCTCCTTGTAAGCATCCTATTCTACACTAGCCTGTTGTTTCACTTTGCTTTTTCATTGTATGCCTTAAGAAGTTTCTCTCAAAGATGGATTTTCTGGAAAGTTTTAATCTTGAATGAAACTGCTACATAACAAATTTATGTGGATTTTCTTGAAAATCTTTCTGGGAGGTAAATGCCAGAAGGGTAAATGAGAGTTCACGAATCTGTTTGCTTTTATGAATGTTAAAAGTTCACATAAAAATGTCTAAAAGAATCTGGCGAAAGCTGTAGACTATCTCCCCTTAAAGGTCCCCTGGCTTCACCAGCCTTGTACCCTCAAAATAATCCTGTTTATAGCCAATTTAAAAAAAATGTTTTAAATTAAAAATCAGTAATTCTTTAATAATAATTTCATGCATTATATTTTGGTCATATTAATTCCCTTCTGAACTCCTCCTAGAACCACCACCTTTGTTTTCATTCTTCAAGTCGAATATGTGCTGCACGTATGTTTTTGGATTTGTGGCCTTCCACTGGAACATGGTCAACTTATCAGGGGATATACTCTTAAAGAAAATGGACCACCCTCTCCCCACAGCTGTCAACAGCCAATAACTCTTCAGCTACGGGTGGGGATTCAAGCCTGCCTCCCCTCATCTTGGGATTTGGTTTGATTTGCGGTTTTATGGGGCTTGTGCATACTGTCACAATCTCTGTGAGTTCACATGGGCAGCTGCCCTGTTGATCCCATAGGACACTATATTCATCCACAGACTCTGGCTCTTGCACTCCTTTTTCTTTCTCTTCTATCGTGTGTCTGACCTTTTGGAGGTGAGGGTGTCATATAGTTATATAGTCCTAGATGCTAATATTCCACAGTATCTTTGTAACTTGGTCAGTTGTTGGTCTTTGTTAATCATCATATTAGGAATGCTTTAATACTATGTCCATTTTGCAAAATAACAGTAGGAGGTTTTCCTCTGGGACTAATGACATGTTTAACCACAGCTTCTTGGACTTTAATGGTGCCAATCCTCTGTAGTGGGATTGAAGTACAATCAGAAGGTTGTGGGTTACCCCCATGATGTTTGTATCATTACTGTCCTCGCGGATGAGTCTTTCCAGGTCAATCATTGTTGTTAAGTCACAGGGCTTAAAGCTGGGTAAAACTGGTGATCACTTTGCTCTTCTAGTAGCGTACATAGCACCTTCCAGCATTTATAAAAGCTAGCCAGTGAAATGAAGCATTCAGGTCAGTCACAGCTTGATAGCTCCATGTTCTGTGACATAAGTACATGGTGTCTTTAGCAGTTGAGTTTCATAAGATCGTATTATGTAATCCTAGCTGGATTATAGCTTTATAGACTGGGCTAGTGTCAAAGTTGAGGCAATTCTGTATCTTCTTCCCAAGCACTGGGAATACAGGTGTGTGCTTCCATATTTAGCTCCCTTTGTACTCCCAATTTTACTTTTTTCTCCTACTGTACTTTATATACTATCCGGAGTCATAGGTTTGAGGTGTTCCTCCCTACTCCCAATTCCACTCAGCCACACACATGTACACACACCACACACACGCATACACACCACAACACACACGCAAACAATAACAGTAAAATAAAAACTAAAATCAATCAGTTGTACATTTTATGTGCCACTCAGTGTTGTAGAAAATACCAAGGTCAGGAACTTATTATCGCCTCTTTCAAAATATTGAAGATTAAAAATAAATATAATTTCAGTTAAATGACTAGATAGAAAAACATACATATATCCAGCTCACTCATTAGCTATGGCTGCCATAATCAAAGAACCACAGATTAGTGGCTTATCAGAACTTAACTTTCTTATAATCTTGGGAGCCAGAAAATTGAGTTCAAAGTCAACTTTGATTTCTTCCGGTCTCTCCTGGGCTTATAGATGGGTTTCCACATGGTCTTCACCCTCTACTTGTCTCTGTGCAAATTTCCTCATCATAAAGTCATTGAATATGCTGGATAAAGGCCCACCCTAATGGTTTCGTTTTAACCTATTTACACCATTAAAGACCCTACATCCAAATACAATAACAGTTCGCAGTATTAAGGGTTTGGACTTCAACCTAAAACTTTGTCATCAGTAGGGACAATTTTATCTGTACAACCAGGAAATAAAAGTTATCCCTCTCAACTGGCAATATTAAGTGGGAGTGAGATAGGACTCATCTCTGATGGCATTCGTGGGAAGCTTCCAACAGGTTGCACAGCCATTTGCATCTCTTAACAGAATCATGATAATCTCAATGAGCTGGCAGACAAGCTGGCTGGCAGGCAAGGCATATCTAAGACACAGCACAAATGAAGACCCATGGGTGAGAAAATGATGAGACACTGTAGAATCACTGATCCCTGGACTTCCAGACTTGGGAGGAAACTGATAGGTTATTCAAACCAAGCCCCATTTAATTCAAGATTCCCAGGCAAAGGGCAACTGAGCTTCCACTTCTGTTTGTATGCCTCCAGTGCCTGGGGTCATAGCAAAGCTTTAGTCTTCAGCCAACTGTGACTGCTCCAAACAGTGAGTTGGATAAAATGAGCAGTTTACTAAGGAGAGATCAAAAAGTCTATGTGTGTACCATGCTAGTGATGGCTTCATGATGATATCCTCCAGGAGCTTCTTTCTAATATCACACTTTTAAATTCTATCTTACTGCAGCTGCAACCAGTACAACCTATATTATGGGGCAAGCCAGGAACCCTGGATTCTTGTTTTTCTGTGTTACTTTGGGCAGAGATGTCTTTCAGTCTTCAGTGTACATGCATATAACAGAGGGAGTAATGGAAACTCCATTTTGTTCACCTCACAGAGTTATGGGAGATGAGACAGAATAATAATGGATGTGATTGGAGCTGACAACCTCAACTCTCAGCAGATGTAAAAGGGCAGGCCTAGGTTTCATTGCCCAGAGTTGGCGTCATGAAAAGGTGGGCAGTTTCTGTTGATAAACGTTTTTTATAATTCTCAGCCAAATAAGTAAAGGGAAAATTCATCCATCATTTAGACTCCCCACTATATTCCTGAAGATACAAAGGAGACTACTGGAATGGTGTGCGTGTGTGTGTGTGTGTGTGTGTGTGTGTGTGTGAAAGAGAGGTGGGGGGAGAGAACACAGTGAGTTTAAAGAAGTTTGGAAAGCTGCTGCAGAGGGTAAAGTCAGAGCTTTATTTTTTATGTGACCATATACAGGTTCCTTCCCTCTTTCAAACCGCCTTTTATTTTTCTGTACAATGGAGATAATGATGCTTGCTTTTCCACGGTTATTCTGAGAAGTGAAAGTAATGCAGATAAAAGCGCAAGAGATTAGACACTAGAGAGAGGGCACCGGGACAATATACAGAAGAAGGGCTTAGGGAGAGAGGCGTGAGAAGTCACTGGCATGGTTTCAGTGGGCCAGGATCTTAATATTTAGAGACTGTCCCAACACCTTTTGCAACTTTGGAGAAGACTTTCCGCTGAGTCAACATAATTGGGAAGCCCCACAATAAACTGCATATAAATCGAGAGCAGCAGGAGGGCAGGCAGGGGTGGCAGCTGCCTTACCCTTGGCGGAGGTTATTCCCCCTATATTTTCGCCTGCATCCAACCCCTCAGTTTGCAAGCCTTGGAGGAAGACAAAGGCGGCTCACGGGGACCCCCTCCCCCAGTTGCGTGTTTCCTTCCTGTCAAGCCCCCTGGGAAGCCGCAGGGTGGAGAAGCACAGCCCGCACGCCAGCAAGAAACAACCTAACTGAAGGCTAGGTCAGGCTGAGGGGATTCGGCTGTAGAGCCGTGGAGGAGGGGAGGCGGAGGGGGCGCTGGGGCTCTCGTTTCCTCCAGCCCAGCCCTACCTCCCAGTGAGCCCGCGACAACCCGCGCCAGCCGCCCGGCCTCACAGAAGCTGGACTTCGTGGACACCATGCAGTGGATTAGAGGCGGATCGGGAATGGTGAGTGCACATAGCTCTAGTTTTCCCTGCATGAGCCCTAATCCTCCAATCCAACCGCAAACCCCTCAAATTAACCTCCACACCAGGAGCCCCCATACCTCTGCCCACCGCCCTCGCCACTGTCCTTCAGACACCAATGAGCTTCCTGTAGCCATTTTAGGAGTCTCTGCTTGCCTGACAGACCTGTAAAGACCCCTCCCATCCCCCCTCCCCCAGACATTTCTGCCGCCCTCCCAGGCTGAGGTAGGCTCAAACTGGGGGATTGATGAAGTGGCCAAGAGCATCCCAGGTAACACCTGGGATGCCAAAGAGGCAAGGGTCTTACAGTAAAACTCTCAGGATGAAAGCAGGCTGGCAAGGGGTTGAGGGGAGCAGCCACAGAACCAAGAATTGTAGAGAGCTTTATAGCATAGCTGCATGACCTCCTTAACTAGGTTGTGCGTAACTGTCACCCCTAGCCAGCTCTAGGGCCCAGAACTACCCCGGTGGAAGCTATCTGGGAAAGACCTGCAAAGCATCCTTGCCTGGGATGGTCTCACCCAGTCCACATTTAGGGCTTTGTCAAGGAGAGATGCTACAGAAACCCTCATCCTCTAAATGGGAATTCAACAAGCAGACCCCCCACCCATGGAAGGAGTGTGTGCTTTTGTTTGTATGTGTGGGTGTGTGTTTAGTACCATCTTCAGCTCATTTTATGCCATGGTGATCCCTTTTATACCTGGAGACCTTGAAATGACTTCCCTTTGCAGAGAGGAAGTGGTGCCCGAATCTTGAGGCTTCTCTGAATCAGCCAGGGCCAGTCCAAGTCTGGTTAGGGGCACTGGGGAGTGGAAGGCCACAATGACTTTGTATTCAGTACTGACAGGGGGTATTGGAGGGCAGTTGGGTTGGGTCAGCAGGTGCTGGTGCCGGTGTCAGCACATACTTCTGCACTGCCACCCACAATCTGCAGCAAAAGCAAGAGAGCCGGAAGCAATTGGGCACACACTCACAAAAATTGATCTTGAACTCCTTTTTTTGATTCTACTCTTAAAGGAAGGAGAGAATCTGCTGTGGGCTAGGAATGTATGCAAGGGAACTCCCCTTCTCCCTTCCTTGGGGTTTTCTCAGGCTCTCCTCTTTCAGTAGTTCTTAAAGGCAGCTAGTTTCTGTCATTAAATACAAGGGCTTACCTAGTTCCTTTCCCCAGAACTCTCTCCTTCCCTGGGGACTCACAAGGCTAAATCAAATGTTTGTAGAACCAGTAAAAGTGAGAGCAGGTAAAGATATTAGAGTCCTTGGAGTCTAGCCAGCACACCAAAGGACACAGAGAATGGAACAGATTTGCTCAAGGCCACAAACTCTTTGGAGGTAAATTGGAGTCTCCTGACTCTCCTTCACTGTCCTTCCTTAGCATTCGGCCAATTACTGTTTCAGATGGAAAGACTCTCCAGTAGAAGCAAATGCTGTAACAGTTGCCTGAAAAATTCCATGCAAGTTCTGTCATTTGTGGCAGCTGGGGCTGGGCGAGAGTTCCCTCCTCTTGCAAATGGATTGGCATGTCAGGACTCACAACCATGTGCTGGAGACAGATTACATTGATGGAGAATTTGAACTTTTCCCAATTTTAAAAGAAGCCAATGACATATTCGCATATCACTATGGGATTAAAGGTTGCTTGGTGAGGAAAAAAACTCAATAAGATTTTAGGGGACCAAAGTGATGACTATTCTATGATAAAAGCATTTACCAGCTCAACATGGTGGCGCACGCCTTTAATCCCAGTACTTGGGAGGCAGAAGCAGGCAAATCTCTGTAAATTTGAGGCCAGCCTGGTCTACAAAGCAAGTTCCAGTACAGCCATACTGCTACAGAGAGAAACCCTGTCTCGAAAAAGCACCACCAACAAAGCATTTACCTAGCCACTTGATAGAGGGTGATATATTATTATTTTAGCCAGGGAGGCAGAAAACCTTTAGTCTTTACCATGGTGTTTGCTGTTGGGAATATTTCTCTCTCTCAAATAAGATTACTAATGACCACCAACACTCCTTCCTGTAAATGTTGGATAAAAGTTAACTAGTAGCCGGGCATTGGTGCCATACGCCTTTAATCCCAGCACTCGGGAGGCAGAGGCAGGCGGATCTCTGTGAGTTCGAGGCCAGCCTGGTCTACAAGAGCTAGTTCCAGGACAGGCTCCAAAACCACAGAGAAACCCTGTCTCGAAAAACCAAAAAAAAAAAAAAAGTTAACTGGTAAACCAGCTAACTTTCCTGGGCACAGGACTTGCTCTGGATTGATATTGATATGCCCAGTGATGCTCTACAGGAAAAAAAATGGATTTTCTCTTTCCCAGCAGGTGTCAACTTCAGCTTCTTGGTTAGGGGTAGAAGTCTATGTCCAAATTTCCTTCTCAGTGCTGGAATTTTGTTTGGTTTGAATCTGTGCAGGTTTTATTTTTCTGTTTGTTTTCTTTTTTGTGGTTTTTGTTGAGGAGGGAGAGAAAACATAAATTTGGGTGGGTATGATCAAAATATATTGTATGAAAACCTTTTTAAATAAAAAAAGTAAACTAGTAAAGATTGTGAGAGAAAAATGGGGAGTAATATGTAGTCACCATTTTGTAATATGGCCCTTTTATTTACACTACACATTGAATTTTTCTCCACATTTGAGAGCCGTAAATTAACTCACATGTTACCATGTAACTCATAAGATATTGCTGAAGAGTTTAAAGAGTTTACGGAAATTGCTGTCTTTTAGTGGATGCAGGATGTTTAACTGTGAGTTCATGTTGGATGATAAATTGTTCAGTACGCCGATTTATAGCTTCCTCCGGAAATGATAGTTGTCACTGAAATACAGATTATGTCTAGAATGAAAATAACATTCTGTGCAGAGTCACAAGTCTGCGATTAAGGGCCTGATTTTTATGCCTTTCTTACTATTCTTATCCATGAATAGAAGTACCGTTATTTTCAAGGTGTTATTGTAGACACTGATTTACTTAAAAAATGTTAGGCTATCTGCTATGAATTTGCATAGCTGTGTTACAGAAAAGAGCAATGAACAAAAATAAATTACAAATTATGCTTAGGAAGTTTACAATCTAGTAGGTTGATGGGGGATAACAAACCAGTCACACAAAATAGTATATAATATGACAAGATGTGTTAAGCACTCAGGAAAACAGAACAGAGATGAGAATGGGATGATATATTAGATAAGTTAAACCATTTATGGTTAAGGAACAATTAAATAAAAATATGAAAGAACTTAAGGTCCATATGCATATTTAGAAGAGGATGCTAGATATAAGGACCAACCAGAAGAAAATCTAACTGGCTTGTTTAAGAAACAAAATACAGCAGGTAAGGAATTAGTAAGTGGAGAAAAATGTTGGATGAAATCAGAAAGAAAAGAAAAATAGATCAAAAAATATGGGGATTTTTTATGACTGATATGAGACATTGAAAGTTTTTGAGTTGATGAGGGTCCTGATCTGACTTATATTTTATATGAAGACTAGATGATAGTGGGGTAAGGACGAGAATTGTGAAGATGCTATTTCAGTAGTTCAGATTAGAGATAATGATGGTTTGGCTCATGAGGATAATGGTAGAGATGATGTGTATGATGGAAGGAGTGTTGCCAGTATAATTTGTAAGTGGTTTGTCTTCTTTTTATTACCTATTGAGGCACTCAGATGGATGAGACTTGGGTTAGAAAGAACAAAGAATAACTATATACATACAAGCGTATTTCATATAAAAATCAATGATTTGAATGATTTGGGTTGGACTCCTAACCACTAGTGTAGGTAATAGAGATTTGGTTTTAGTTAGCATTTCAGTCAATTAGCTTTGATTTCTTATCTTCCAAGAAAATTAAGTATAATATTAATGGTTTGGAAATTTGGTATGGTATCTAGAATGAATCAAAAAAATTTTGAGACAGGGTTTCACTGTATAGTTCTGGATGTCCTGGAACTCACTCTGTAGACCAAACTTACCTTGAACTCACAGAGATCTACCAGCCTTTGTCTCCTGAATGTTGGGATTAAAGGTCTACACCTCTACCACCCAGCTAAATCAATTTTTAGTATTTTCTTCTGTATGACAAAATTATATTCAGTAATAATCATGCAATGGTCAGCGCTATTCTTCATTTTCATAATTTGTTCTTTAATTTTAAAACAATTAATGGAAATGAACAATGCATTTCTATTTTAAAGAAATATGAATTCAGAGTTATCACTTGTGTGCCATGAAACAAAGATATTATGCCCTATACCGAGCTTTGTCTTGTTCTTTAAGATTTAAAAACACAAACGAATTTCCCGAGTTGATCATATAGAGTAACAGAAATGTCATGTTCTGTTTCTGTCTTCATAATCACTGTGGTCTCACTGTTTATTTCAAACCCACATTTAAAATCCAAAACAGAGAGTACAAGAGGAATTGTGGATTTTATAAACGCATCTAGAAATACCTTTAATGATTCTGAACCTTAATAAAATGAAAGAAGCAAATGAGCATATGTAGTTAATTCTGTTTGTGTGTGGGAGTGTCCTAGTTTGCTTCTCTGTTGCTCTCATAAAACACTGGCCAAAAGCAACCTGGGTAAGTAAAAGGTTGATATGGCTTACAGGTTATAGTTCATTATTGTGGGAAGCCAAAGCGGGAACTCATGGCGAGAACCTGGAGGTGGAGAACTGAAGGAACTCTGCAGAATAATTTACTCCCCATGGCACACTCAACTTGCTTTTTTTAACACAACGCTGAACCACCAACCTAGGAGTGGCACCACCTACAGTGAGCTGGGCCCTCCCATACCAGTGATTAATCAAGAAAATTCCCCACAGGCATGCCTATAGGCAATGTGATGGAGGCAGTTTGTTAGTTGAGGGTACATTTTTCCAGGTGGTTTAACAGAAACTGACCACCATGCAGGGAACAATGACTTTCCTGTAAAGTAGAATGTCAGGAACAGAAGGAGAGAGAGCATGAGCAAGGAACTCA